CCAACATCGCTCTCTCCACCTGGGCGACTTCCACGTGAATTTCGCCCTTCAATTCGTCCAGAGTTCGGGGCTTGTTCGCGTATACTCTATCCTTGAGGTTCTCATTTTGATCGATCAGTGCTTCCATCTCACGTGGGAAGTTCATTCGTTGTGCATAATCTCCGTGCTGTAACTGTTGCACAATGGCCAATTTGTAGGAGTGAAAGCGGAGATCTATATGTAAAATTCGCCTTACCGAACGATCACTAAGGCGAAGTGCAGCAGCATGTTTCCGGGCAGATCGATAACCTGTTCCATACACATACATTGTTTTTAGGTAAAGGAAAGCTTTAGTAGCTACTTCAGGCAAAAGGCTAGTCTGTATCACCATATTCTGCACGAAATAAGAAATTCGCCAGAAATACAGCACACTTACTAAAACCCCTCAATTGTTAGCGATGCATCCGACCAGGATGATGTAGCATTTCGTCATGGTGGGTAGCGACGCGTCAAGCTTCTGTACCAAGGGTATTCTGCCCTCCTATTACCAGTGTGTATATACGAGGGTTGATGCAATAAAAGATTCCCAGAGAGCTTCAACCACACTGGTTGGTATTTGCCCTAGCTTACATACCTAGCAACCTGTCAGCTTCGGTTAGACTGACAAGACTTTCTCGATGCTGAACAGCTGTATTGTATACCTATACAATAGTGTCATGCTTGGCTCAGCTCTTTGGTGCCGTTTTGAGTAGCCAAAACACCTTTGCAGTTTTGGAATCCTTACCATTAAGAGCAATTGAAGTTAAACATTTTTGGAATTCGGTCAACTGAAAACATTTATTAAAAATTTGACTTTAAACGCCATCTTCAGGTACATGTGAGTTTCTAAAATAGTTGACGAAAATAAATAAATATATCTGCCAGATGCATGTTGACAGTTTGAGCAGGTCAATGACTAGAATTTCCAACTTGGACCTAAAATATCGTAAGTGCACCTCTACAGACATTATCTCAATGAACTGATCATAGTACCATTATTGGAAGCTATTACTTTTCTACTTATGCTGTAGAATCTAAACAAATCAATCGGTTTTTTGCAATAATGGTGGATGTACACACTATGTATGCAGCACAGTCACTATTTATTGAAACGCTACACTTGATTTCTCTATAATTTTGTGTTCATAAAAATCATGAGGAATGAATATTTCCAGTTCCTAGGGTTGTATCTATGAGGAATGTTGATATAGCTACAATTTTCTATTAGTTCCAAGGATCGGAAATTCATCGTCCAAAATAAGAAACCAATTCCGCGACTTGACCTTCGACGTACAGGTGATTGTCGACACCCGGCACTGCCCAGCAGGACCAAGAAGACCAACAGAACGAAAAGGGACGGCAGGATAATATATCAGAAAGTGTCACTACAACGTGTGTGTATGAGAAGGCCACGCCGCCGCTGAAAATGGCAGGACAACGAAAACCCGACTAGTGTTTTAATAACACTGGACAAGCGTGCACATTTTATTCCAGTCTACAGCATTTAAATAACTTCGCAATTCCTACTTCGCCTCTTTTTTGGGTTGATACAACAAACTCGCATAAAATTTGGACCGCAGGCAGAAACTGCAACAGTGTGAAGTTTATCTCAGATACGGCTGCTGTATGTTCGGTAACAAATATGCAATATCGATTGCGTCTGTAATCAACACCACAAACGTACCACTCCATTTTACACTTGTAATCAACCCTACCTCAAGATAAAGAGTTTCTTTTATTTAAATCCGAATTCTAGAGTGAGCCATGGTCATACGCGGTAGTAAATCAAATTTAAGTATACTTACATTAGATGCCGTATCTAAATACTATAAATATTTTAATCACCACTTATAGACAAGAATTATGATCTCTCTATTTTGCAATTCATGCGAAAAATATGAACAAGGAAGAAGCAAAACCTTTCCGATCACAAGCAATGAAAAACTCTACTTTGGAATTATAGTCACAGCTGGGAGAATTGGATAGCAAGAGATTTAACGTATCATGAGAAGACGGACCTGAATTTTCGTAATATAGACTTATTTTGATTTATACCAGTGCGCTTCTGTCGAGTAGATCAACTCTGTATACCAGGTATTTATATTTCCATAATTTTGCATCAACTGTGACCATGTCTCAGGGGTACTTGTGACTTATTTCAGGATATGTCCTTTTACAAATTCACTTATATATCTTTAGCAGTTTTTGTACTAATAGTACAATGTAGTTTACCGATAACGTTTGTAGACGTAATCATTATTTTTGTTAATAATAAAAATGCATAATTACGTTTGTCCATTAATATCACCCTGATAATTTCCCTTAAAGCGTAGAATTGGGGTTATGACTGTTTGATCAGTAGCTCTAGACGTTACCTCTCATAATAATAAGTGGAAAAATTGATGGGAAGCAAACGATAACCTTACAATGAATGAGAGGTTTGGAAATCAAAAAATGCCTTATTACATACCGAAAAAGAGTGAAATATAAATGTTGATGCTAGAAAGATAATAAGGAGGTTGAATACATAGAACTATTAATGATATCAACTTTATAGTGGGCTAAGGCCTGGGTGTGGTGGATTTAGCAGCAAGATGTAGCTAGATGCTAAGATAATATTTCTCAGAGAATAAGCATATAGTTTACATATGTAAACTCCCACCACCGCAAGCTGGGAGGCACGTTGAATGCTTAGACTGCCGCCATGCAAGTGAGTAAATTAACGTGCATGTTCTTTAAGTAGCAATATATTCAAGGACAAATAGGACAACTTAATTTAGGTAACCGAACAAATTATTCATGGCAGAGCTCTCTCTAAAGGGCTCTATTGTGGATTTTGTTTAACGAAATGCTTAAGGATGTCTAGGAAAAGTCTAAGGGTGAAATCTTGACAAATTAATAGCACTATTTAGGTTGAGCAACGACATGAACAAAAAGGATACATCGCAAAAACTTGGGTTGCGGATTTTATAAGTGGAATATCTTCCAGGAACATCAGAAGTTGCGTTTCTTTTGTGGTTATATTATCTCCTAGAATCCTGTGACCTATCCATATCCAAGCAACCCACCTCAGCACATGACCAGTTGTTCTCAGCTATGAGTCATATTCCATGCTTTCGATACTTCATAAACAAACTTGAGAAATCACCGGTTATAACCCAAGTTTGAAAGTTTGACGAGGTTATCATGAGAAATCCTCCTACGGTGGTATATGTATAGAAATTACCTCTTACTAACGCTTTTACAAAGTACATATGTAAATATTTACTTGAAGTTTGAAAAGGACACCGAGGTGGCCGAAGCGCGATTAATGAGTAATTTCTATATGTGAGTTCTCGTTTCTCTAGAAACAAGTTTTAAGAGTAGAGCCTCATGAATCGGTCCTCAAGAGACTTTGGTTATAACAGCGTCCAAAATGTTGCCTTAGAGAAATAAATTTCATTCATTTAACGGCGTTTTTAAAGGCTAGCGCGCTCTAAGATAATTGAAAGAGTATCATCTCAGCAAGCGGTATGCAGTTCCCATTGTTATATCTCATAAAACACTGATCTACGAGGGATGTCTTTTAAGTTTTGCATATAGAAACATAGTAGGCCACGTGGATCGAACGTCAATACTGAATCCTAACCTCACTCTTTAGTAAACTTAAATTCAAAGTTTCACAACAATACGTGCCGTACCGTATTCTCACTACTCACTACTTTTTAAGTGCCACCAAGTCATTAGAAAAATGGAACTCAACCGAGAACATTTTCGCGCCATAATTTATTACAACTTACAGCGACAATTATCGCAACAAGAATGCCTTGCTGAGTCACTGTCTGTTTTCGGAAACGAAGCGCCACATCAGTCGACAATTTCCCATTGGTATGGAGAATTCAAATGTGGACGGGTGAGTCTTAGCGACGATCCCAGGGTGGGTGCACCAAAAACGGCAGTCACCCAGGAAAACGGAAACCTCATCAATGAAGATAGACATGTGACATATCGTGAGACTGAGGCGTCCTTGAAGATCTCAAAGACCTCAATTACCAAAAAATTTTACAACATGGTCACACAGAAGAGAAATGATGGAAATATAAATATCTGGAATGTTGATGAACTTTTGGAGCTGTGACGAGAAGTCGAAGATCTAAATCTTTACGTTGAGGAAGGTCCTTAAAGCTTATTTTGTGTTGTTTACATTATTTCGCTCCAATAACAGAATCGATATCAAAATTAGTACATTCCAAGACCAGCTTATAATGTATAGGAATTGCGTCTAATATAAGCGACTTAAATTATCAGAGAGTTATTGAAGGACAAACAAAGCCATCCATTTTTATCAGCATACTAAGAGTTACGTCTACAAAATATTATCGGAGAACCAGATTATTTTATTGGCGCAAGAACAGCTAAAGGTAAGTTAGTTTAGAAAAGATCAAATTGTAAAATAAGTCCTACCATCGAGGCAAGGTCAAACTTGAAGTGAAATTATGGAAACATAAATAGCTGCAAAGTTGATCTACTCGACGCAAACGCACTAGCAGAAATTACGAATTTTCGCAGATGTGTCCACAACTCTACGATGTAATCTCAATTTGCACATTGATGAAGGTTGCTGAAAGCTTATTTATATTTTTTTGCACCAATTGCAAAATGAAGATAACACAATCCCTGCATTCCAAGGCTAGAATTTAAAATACTGGACACATAAGCACTATGACTTGTAATCATAGCCCACTCTGAAATGCGTATTAAGATGGAGGAAACCCTGTTTTGAGCCTGAACTGGTTACAGTCTTTTTGTCAAACAAGTTGGTACACGCACAAAAAATCAGCACTCGGTTGATCTCTTTCATGCCACAGAATTTCCAGAATGCCGTCTTGCATGAAGACTATACTGTAAAATAAGATGTAGCATAATTGCATACCAGCTGTTGCAATTGGTGAGGCACATCGGAAATATTGATGTATTTCGCAAGAGCTCAGACCTGTAATAGTTTAGGTCGGCCTTAGATGCTTTTCTATGATCAGATACATTTCAGCAATTTCACGCGTCATCTAAAAATAAAAAAAGGATTTGGCAGAAAGCCGAAGTATACAGCTTTCATTTGATGCCACTTGTGCGAACATCGTTCAACTTACTGAACACAAAACACAGTCCTCCACCCTATACTCGGTATTAATCGTCAGCATTCAGCGACCATTACAGAGTATCCCTAAACATTATCCCTCCTGAAACGGCACTTCATCACTACAACTGGTAACTGGAAGCAGTAACAAGTAGCAGCAATAGGAACGTTACTTGTGCTCAGTAAATCGAATTGCTAACCGGTCTGAAGAGAGATATATACCTACGCGCGGATTGAATGCACCACCGTTTCGAAACACCAGCATGGACAAAACAAGCGCGCCATTAGTGATAGCGCTGAATGTATCTGTTGGCTAAGCAATGCAGATAACCCAGGAAATGAAGGCTCAGACGTATTCATAAATAAGAAACGCATTATGAAAAAAAGTGTTGTTCATGGTTTAATGACAATGCGGATTCTGTTTCTGGGATTTTCAATTTCTCTTTCAGTCATCCAGCAATTAGGACCCTCATCACCTGGGCAAAAAGCTTTTGCAACACGCAAAGAAATCTACAGGAAGAAATCAACCACATTAAAGCAGGTCTAATAAGAAACGGCTTTCCATGACGACTGATAAATGAAGTTCTGAAAGAAAATAGCAGCAGTGTAAAAAACCTGAATGGACATGGACATCATACACTAATTCTACCATATGTTGAGAGATAGATGATGCAATCAGAAGAATAGGAAGACGATACGAAATCGAATCTAGACTTTCAAGGAACAGCACACTTCACAGTATCATCACAAAGACAAAACCTAAGAATAAAAACCAGAACAACAAGGATTGTTTATACTAGGTGTCATATGGTTGCGGAGAGATATGCATACAAGAAGCAAAATGACAACTTTCAGTAATAATAAAAGAGCATAAATCCAAGATGGAACGAGGAGAAACGAATAAATTTGAGATGGCAGAATCAGGCTTAGACAACAAAACATTGCAGCATTGGAGACAATTGAAGGAGGCGGCCTTCGTAATAATGAACGAATATTTTTACAGCAATTCGAGTGTGAAAATTAAACCAGTATGGCAACCGAAATGAGAGACACATCAAAAGCAACCACCGGCCACGTCATCAATCGCTATAAATAGCCAAGAAAGAAGCATGTTCGCCAGTTCTCCAGATGTCGATAGAAGATCAAATTAACCGAAACGTTGTGAATCGAAAAACCCTGTAGACAATGGTAGTCCAAGAAACAGTAAAAAAAGGCATATGTCTTAAAAAGAATGTAATCGTAATAATCCTAAACATGATAACTATTGAATCAGAGCTAGACATTGATGTTGACTACCGACACCTCCTTTCGCGGTTGATAGCACTTTTGGAATAAGGTGAGTATTGTCAGAAAATCGACAACGTGAATGATGAGCAGCCAATTTGGGTACCTTTAGTCACATAAATACCATCACTCACTGTTCGCGCTTAAGTTTCTAGTCGGGTTCCTTTAGTACGCATTACGTCCATTCATGTGCTTTACCTGTTAGGTAAGAATCATTATGTAATCGTCTTATGCCTAGAGATGTTATTGACCTAATATCTTGATGACGCGTTTATTAGTACCATTGATTAATAGTTAACTGAAAATGCAATGTAAAGATCTTATATTATGGGGTCGTAACATGTCCATGACTATTGATGAATTGATGGTCAAGTTCAGAGCTGCCTGTGCCCTAGTAGAGCATGTTGTATATTCCTTCTTGGTGAAGGACACTATTCCGCAGAGATACTACTTTCTATTCAACAGCTTATGAATATTTGTTCGTTTAAGTTTAATTATAATTTACCTGCTCTATTGAGAATAAGATGTTTATTGTCTGCTTCATATTACTTGCCTATTATTTACATCACATCTGAAACTTATACTGTGGCTTTCACCCTGATAAATCCCCATGCTTTATGGCCACTAAATGAAACCACATATGTAGGATAACCTGTGTACTAATGTTTCAGCTACCTCGATGGTCTTTTTCCAAGTACATGCAAAAAACTGACAAAGGACATTTATTATATACTGCATAAAAGTCAACAGGTGTTTGGCGACAACAATTCCTTGTGGGTCATAGCGTTATCGAAGTCACCAGGAGTTTTCGGTGTGATGAGGGCAACGCGTCTGGTACATCCAAAACAGCAGATAACCTGTGTTTGATTGTTGCTGTGGAGAGGTTGGGTGTCTTTGAAGGCGGGAGTGCCTACCTCAGGCGGTCCTTTACTTTGATGGGCTTGCGCGGTGCCATTTTAGGGTTGCGCGATCTTCGCATGGTACAGCATCGTTCAGGCTGTTAATACATTGTGTGCTAGCGGTTAAAACAGATGAAGTTTCACCTGAAATAATATTGTTGTCGTTTTTTATTCACGCTACTTGACCCTTTGTTATGAGCTGACCTTAACGGTCCAGCCCCGTACACAGATTTCTCTCATTTTGGGGACACGACTCAACATATGACAAACGCCCAACTAACAGTTTGACTTTGAATTTCCTTTGATCAAACCCACGAAATCCAATTGACGTTTTCCGAGCTTCTCAAAGAGGCAGAAACGTGAGTGAAGAGACTTCTCGGTAAGACTATACCTTAGCGCATATACTTCATTTCTTACTTTAGAATGAAAGACTAGGAGGTAACTTCTACAAAAATATCATTTTTTCTTTCAGGAACCCTCTGCTTGCTATTTTATAGAACTTCGAAGTTGAATTTTTGGTGGTAATACTCTACAATAGAATACTGTTATATATGCTGTTTTTTTTGCTTTTTGTACAAAAGGATGCTCTAAATTATAAGAACATAACATACACTGTATAGTACTAAGATAAATTGATATGAAATTGTAAAAAATCGTTGTTTTTGGCAAAAGAAGGTTCAAAACCAGACGTGTTATTACACATTAGCTTAACAGATCAAAATACATACGTAAATGAGGGTATTCACTTGGTAAATTGTACAGAGGTGCTGTTTTGTGATTTTTCAATGTCTTCTTGAAATTCCTTAACCATTTTCTTCGCGTATTTTTACCGAGATCAACATTTTTGATAGATAAGATGAATGATGTCCATCGTTGCCAAGTTGTACCTTTTTTGGGAGAAATACGTAATTAGAAATGAGGTTATTTGCAAAATAAAGGTCATAATTTATTGTAATTGGCTTGTTTTATGAAAAGTTGTCCAAATATTTACTGAAAACTAGATGAAATTTTGAACAGTACATGTATAAGCAGTGGAAAACGCACCAGCGGCTCGCGTGACATAAAAAATACAAAAGGCACCAGCGGTCATTGCATATAAAAATACCCAATGTCGATTCGTAGATTTGGACCACCTAAAAAAAACCAAATAAAGATCAACGATCATTTCATCAAATCATCTAAAAAATTGCAATGTTCTTTGTTGTGTCTTCATTATTTAGTGATTTGCAACAGCTACTTTCTCAGTTATTTCTCATATACATGTATATCACATATTAGGTACATTTTGTAACATCAGCTTCACTTTAAATAATTTTTCAAGTACATACATACAAAAAGTAAATAGATTATAACTATGATATAGGAAAACAATAACCGAAGTAATTTTGTGAAGGGCATAGGGCATTCTTCAAAAAAGTCTCTTAGCTAACGCTATCGTAGGGCACAAGGTGGACTTAGTACAGTAAAACCTGCCAGCCACATCTCCAAATCGCATTTTAATGACAATCCTGTGCCGTTTGCACAGTTTAGCGCTAGTATATAAGTAAGAATTTGACAGATCAAATTAGGATATATAACTATCCACGATTTGCCAACATCGCAGCTAGATGGAGAGAGTAGGATAGTGATGGTGGTGTAGTGATGGGCATAATTATCTGAAATAAAAGAAATGACTACTTAACAATGAACTAGGTGTATTTTCATCATTACAATAATGCAAAATTGTATCATTGCGATGAACAGTATCACAGTAGCTTACAGTAATATATATGTTATAATCATATAATTTTGAACAATCCTTTGTATGAACAAGAAGAAAACTGTTCATAAAGCAATATTAGCACCCAAAATGCAACTTTGAAGTTCTATAAAATAGCAACCAGAGGGTTCCTTAAAGAAAAAATGAGATTTTCGTAAAAGGTACATCCTAATCTTTCACTTTAATATAAGAAATGAAATATTTGACATATGCGCTATAGTATAGTTCAGCCGACTTGTCTACATATTTATGTGGTTTCATTTGCCAAAAAAAATCGACAACTACCTGAATCGTTTTTCCAAGAGGCGTTGGATGGAACAGAGCCCCAAACATTTGGGAAGAAATAAATATTTCTTTGATTTGACGGTAAAAGCGACAGAAACGATAAGCGCATTTCTCAGGGCTGGCATGCACACTCAAGCTACTCGAGAGACTTTTCCTCAATCAAGGCTAATACTGACATTTGATACTACGACATTTTTGGTTCGTACTTTCTAAAAAGGCCACCGAGGTTGCCGAAATGTTAGCAGACAGTTAAAGCTATTTCTGTGGTTCCATTTAAAGGCCTAGAAATGTGGACATTCATACAAATGGTATTTGATTGCATTTTCGATAACATGCTATAGTAAGAACATCTTTGGTACTGATATAAAATAATAATAATAATAATAAGAATATTTATTCGTCAAAATACAAAAAATGGGCAAACAAATATGAAAAAACCACAGAAGGCATCGCCTGTGTGTGGATTATATCTTAATAATTAACAATCAATCATATATGTGTATAACAATTATTGTTAAATCTAAAAAGTATTAATGTAATTGGAATTTTGTAGTTTTAGTTTTCTATATAATTTTATGTATAGTCATTCGCTGCACAGTACAAACCCAGTCTTTCAATTTTCATCTAAATTTGTCTCCAAACTTAAGTATTTTTATTTCGTTTGGTACTACATTATATAATTTAGCTCCTAAGAACTTAAAT